CGCTACAGAAAACATTGTCAAATAGGTGCAACAGGCCGAACCTCAAGGAGGACATAAAGCCTTGCTAAGAATTTCATCCACCAAGGAAGGGATGAAACCCAATAGAACAAGAAAGACTAACCCGAAACCCCCCTTACCCTTAAGAACCCTTGGCAAGGATTAGGAGTCAAGACCTAGGGGTTTAACCCACTAAACCGACTGGGTCCAGACTTCTGGACATCCGAGGGGAACGTGCACGGAAACCATCACGAGAATTCCCCTGGAAGCCATAGAGACGAAGGGGACTTCGACACGGGAAGAGAAGATCAAACGAAAATCTTAGAATCAAACAAAGCCAAGGAAAAGGGATCACCAGTTCGACTGCACGCCACAACCAAGCCCCAAATAGGCATAATCACTCGAAGCCAAGAGTCCTTAGCCCCTTTCCCTCCCCTTGCCAATCAAGTACCATTTCGTTAAAAAAATCCGTCCTATCACTCCAAACCTCGCTCTTGATCCCTCATTATAGACAAACCCGTACAAGGTGGCAACCTTCCTTCCTGTATTACGACCTTGAGACATCGACCCTATCCGCCCCTCGACTTTGAAACCTAGCCCTTGCACTTCTTACACCCCTTTAAACCCAGACCAAGAAAACATAGATATATATATGTATGTATATCTACCTCTAGAACTCGTGCTTAAGGATCAATGAACATTGTACGATGGGTCATCCTATGTATCCAAGTCCCTTTTATTGTGCACAAGGGCATGGGACTTGTCAGGACATGAATCTGTGCATTTTTGGGGTCTTTCCCGAAGGAATTGACTATTCCTAGTCACTTTCCCGCGGGTCCCCAACGGGTCCTTGACGGGACCTTGGCGGGTCCTTGGCAGGAGCTTGGCAGGCGGACAACCGCCCACCTCGCGCCCACTGGTACAATGTGCTGATTTCTTAACCCCTCATTTTATTGATTTGTGGCGCACTTGTGTTCCTCGATTGAGGAATGTGAATCTTGGGTAAGGAACCATGGACCACCCAAACATAGTGTCCTACGTAAAAGACCTTGACGCACGAAACACCATCGGGAAATCACAATCAATTACATTGCACGAGTAATTGAAATCGGATCCTACGATACAACCGACTAGGGATGTTTGGCGTAAAGGATTGCGCAAACCAAGGAGGCGAGTTGGGAACTCGTACTAAGAACCCACGAAAACCTTAAAAGTCAAAATGCTAAGGAGGGACCGGGACTCCTCCAAACCATGGACATCGTTCGAGCAAATTAAAGGACTCCTTACAAGTTGTATGGAATCAAGAACTACGTAGCCCATAGTGCTAAGCAAAAGGGTGAAGAACACATTCGCGCCAAGACTTCAAGGGTCATTAAGGACCCACAAGGAAATGAGGTGACTCGTAAAGTCGCCGAGTCATCCCACAACGAAATTTGGTAACCGACTGCGCTTTAAAAGAAAAAGGGCACGCAAGGACACCTTCATCATTAAAAATAATACAAACAGGGCACAACAATGCCGAACCTCGGGTAAGACATGAAGTCTTACTAAGAATTTCATCCACTAAAGAGGAGATGAAATTCAATAAGAAGAGAAATTCAACCCAAAGTCCATCAACTCCCAAGAGACTTTGGGAAGAATTTGGGAAGTGCGCCCTAAGAGATTGGCTTGGTTGACCCAACTCGGTCAAGACCTTGGGCGCATTAAAGAAGTAAGTGTTGAATCACCACGGGAAATTCCCTCAAGAAAGAAGAGAAGGATGAAACCTTAGCCTGGGAAGCAAGGTCTAACAAGGACCTTAAAGTCAAGCAAGCACCAACACCAAGGAAGGAGGATCATTAGCTCGTCGGCGCATCGTGATCAAAGCATCTAACCAGATTATTCACTTGGGATCGAGAAACCTTAACCCATCCTAGCCGAATTCCTTTCCCTCCCTCGGAAAATCGGCCCCTTCCTTATTTCAAAACCCTTTCTACCCTTCAGACCCCATTCTCAATCCCATGTTTTAACGATTCCATACAAGTGGCAACGTCACAACCTAAGTTGCAACCTCGAAAACTCGATCCTAATTCCTGAATTCACCGTGTCCTCAAGTTTGAAACCCACTCTCTTAGCCCTGTAAACCTAATCGTTCCCAAAAACCCAACACACATAGGCGTGCAAGTATACAATTTCCCCGTGGAATACCTTCTCTATAGGACCACAGTTCTTCTCTTGACTCGTTAACCCTGCAATGATTTCCAAGCTTCGGGGACGAAGCTTCTCGTAAGGGGGGGAGAGTGTAACACCCCGTGTTACGGCCTTCAATCCCGGATTAATTATTTAATTAATCCCGTTAATAATAATTAAATATGATTTAATTCGGTTATGTTTCCCTTTAATTAATTAATAAGGCCCACCATGAACCGTGGGCCCTTGCCTAAATTAGAGCCTTAAGCCTATTAGGAATAAAGAAAGTAAACCTTTTACTATTCAGATTCTGATTAGGAATCCTAGACCTAGTTATCTATTAGGAATAAAGGAAGTAGGTCTTTTACTATTCAGATTATGATTAGGATTCTCTTTAATTAATTAATATGGTCCACTATGGACCATGGAACCCAATCCTTAGTCCCAAAAGGAATAGAATTAGCAAGCCTATAATATTAGTTCCTAATTAGGACTCCTAAATATATAAATAAGGGACTTAAGAGGCACCTAGAACCCCCCATCACAATAAACGACTCACCATCCCAAAAGAGCTCCAAGAATTCCCTTAGAAGAAATCAAGAAAGCAAGAAAGCTTAAAGAAAGACCCTTCATAGCCAAGGAATTAATTAAGGCTAAGAGGTAACCCATGTCTCAACAAAACCTATTTTCATAGCTATGATTTCCCCCTTAGGGTTTCCCCATATTATTGTGTATTAATGACTTGTGATGATTATTGTTGATGATTGATGTGATGATCCCATGGGGGATCTTGATAATCTTGATATTGGGAGATTCTTGATAATTATGATATTCTTGATGATTATATGGAGTTCTTGATGATTATGTGTTGTTCTTGATAATTGGGTGATGCTTTTGATGTTTATGTGTTATTCTTACCGAATCTTGCAATTAGAAGACGAACCGTATTCTTGTTAATATAAAAGTGATTAGAACCCTAGGTTGTATCGTATGATCTTATTCTTGGATTATCGGGTGGGGAAATCGCATGTTTGGGCGTTGATTATATTTAGAAAAGCATGATAGGTTGTGTGCCGTTCGTTTCTTGTATTTGATTCGTTAATTGTCTACGTGTTGTCGTTAATTACGTTGTAAAGTGTCTGAGCATGGTTTCGGGTTCCACAATGGTTCCCGGGGCGAAATTGTGTGATAAGAGTCAGTGGGGGGTAGGTGGGGGGGTAGGGGACCCGCCACCTACCCACGGCCGAGATTTCACTTCCGGCAGCGGGCAGCCGGCGGGCGGGCAGCTGCCCGCCGGCGACCCGCTGCCCGGAACAGTAAAACCGGCGGGCAGCCGGTGGGTGGTCCCCACCCACCGGCTACCCGCTGGAAAATTCCCCCACTCGGGAGTTCGACTTCCCCGTTTGATGTTCCCTCGATCCCCGTGGTGTCCCAACGGACTCCGTTTATCGTGCCTATGTCTAGTTTGATATTTCGGGGACCGTTCGTAGGTTTACGAGTCTACTATATTGCATGCTAGTTGAATTGGTATCCCGTTGACCTAGGTGGAAGGAATATGAACCCCTTAGGACTTTTCTTAGTATGTGAAGGATCACGCATAGGTTTTGTTATACGCTTTCTCCCCCTTCCCAATATGTAATGTGGGTTGCATGTTCTTGCTATGTGATATGTGTGTGTGTTACCCCAATTCGGTTGCGATCGGATTGGTTATCCTGAGCTGCGGTTCAGAAGCTGGCTGCGGTCAGATTTATACTCTTGGGCTGCGGTCCACCGTTTGGTTGCGATCAAACGTTTCTATACGAGCTGCGGTTCGTCCTCTTTCCTGGTTGCGGTCAGATGACATTCTCCTGGGCTGCGGTCCACTGTTTGGTTGCGATCAAACACTATGATGAGCTGCGGTTCATCGGTCGGTTGCGATCGACCCCTCCGTATTGCGATACGGGGCAGGGTGCTGCGGGGCCGTGTCAGAGCTATATGCGCTGACCCTCATGTATGGGCATACGATTGGTCTTGTGGCGCCAACAAAGTGTGCTATGTGTTGTGATATGGATGAGTGGTGATCATGAGTGTCTTGGGGGATGTGACTATGGGATTTATGTTGGGGATTGTTTATGTTGGGTTGTGACTATTGTTTATGCTTTGCCTTATCTGTCTTATCTGTTGTGAACTGCGTATGTTGTTATAACTGTTGCTCGTGTCTGGCCTTATCTGTCGAGTCATTCCCGGTTTTAAAAGCTAGAGTTCGTAGGATATATCTTCATGCTCAAAATGGTTTTCGTATATCTATATATATCTCTATATGTATTGTATTTCAACGCGTTGGAGTGGGTTACCAGCATCTCTCGCTGAACAGATATATTTGGCTTTCAGGTACAGAAGAATAAGTCACTGGAGCGCGCTAGAACTTGGAACGTAGAAGTAGATAGTTTCCCTTTTCGGCCTGCGTGCCATGCTTATGCCTTTACATTATTGAGGATATTAGTTAGTTAGCCTGTGCACCTGAGTTCTCTAGCTCAGGTGTGGCATAGCACCCCATACTCTTGTATTATGTTTTGGGATTTAATGGGATTTCACCTTTATTTTATAAGTTTTGAATTTCTTGAAAATCTGGGGTGTTACATCCTTGCCAATGATCTTGTTAACCACCTAATAATTGAATAAATTCTTGATCTTGTGTGTTGTGCATTGCTAGTGAAGGCTTATGTGAGATTCCGGTAATGGTTGTTTTGCTAGAACTTGCCTCATTACTCTCTAAGTGAAATCTAAGATTTGCATGTTTTGAAATGATTTAGGCCATTTTTGTTTAAGCACTACACATATGTTTACCCCTAGTTGTCCCCGTTGAGCCTTTTGTGTTTGTTCAATAAGTGCTAAGCACCTAATCCCCTTTGTGTTTGTTCTTCTTGTGTTAACCCTTGTCATTTAACCCTTAAACCTTAGCCAAAATGTTTTCCTCCACCCTTGAGAGAATAGTGCACTTGTTCTTTTTGTTGGAAGTGATTCTTTTTCTTTTTGGAGCTTGTTTTGTTAGCAACACTCTCTATAATGTTATCTAAGTGTGATGGTCTAGATTTATTGAAAAAGTTTCTTTGTTGATTTGGAAAAAAAAAAAAGAAAAAAAAATGATGAGAAATTTGAAAAAAAAAAAAAAGTCACAAAAATGTTGCAAAGAAATGAAAAAGAAGAAGTTCAATAAAAGTTTGATAGTTTGCTTTGAAAATTGTTCTCAACCTCTACTACTTTAGAGTTGATAGTGCTAATTACTACGTAAGCAATAATTAAACAAACACGAGACCAATTAAAGCAAGTAAATATCTTTATTGATCCCGGTAAAGGCCCTAAGTACAATCTACTTGGTTGCTCTGAGTGCCGACTGACTGCGGTCGGGATTCTCTAACAATAACCTATCGATCGTCCAAAATTCCCCTACACTGTAGCTACTGTGGGTATTTATAGCCGCTGCGCCGGAGACACAAATCCGGTCGTTCGGCATGCTCTCCACGTAGCCACCACGTGTCATCCTCCCGGGTGCCCTATCTGTCGTCACAAAGAGCCGCCACGTGTCCTTTATCAGCTCTCTCGCCAAAGGGCTACCGCTCGGTGGTCGACAATGCCGCTCGGGCAACTCCCGGTCGGACCCCGACCGAGTTCTTCACATGAAGCCCGACCTGTTACCTGCAAAGACAAAGAGAAAAGGACGAAAGCACCTCGGTCGGGGTAAAGCTATGTCGGTCGGGGTATTCCCTACCAAGAGGCCCCCAGCCCGGGTCTTTTTGATCGTCCGGGAAAAAACGGGACGGGATGAAGAAGCCCAACCGTCGGCCTTTAAACCGACCAGCCAGCTGTCATTCCACCCCTCGCCACGTGTCGGCCACTGCCGGCCTCTGCGACTGCAACGGTCGCCTCGGAGTCAGCGCGGGTCGTGTCACGCAAGTGGACTCGTTTCCCGCCTAAATGCTCTCCTATAAATAGGCCCTTGAGGCCTTCATTTGAACTTTCCTCAATCCATTGAAGCGATCGGCACCCTCGGAGAGTCTCGAGCAGCAGTTCAGCGAACCAGTCGAGCAAACCAGGCTTCAAGCTTTTCTCAAAGTACTTCCAATCGGTAAGCTCTCTACTCCCTAGCTTTTGCTTTACTTCCAGCTTTGCGTAGGAGTAGGGTAGAACTAACTCCGATCTAACTTCCCGAACCCTGTACTAACCCCGACCGACCTTTAGGTAGAAAAACATGTCGGATTCAGATAGCCAAAACGTCTCGGTCGCAGACTACGACCACGGATTCGAGCAGATCAGCGACGAGGAGATAGAGATTATGTCGTATTCTCCTGAGGTCGTTCAACGACCGGGGAAGGCTCCCGAGCGAGCCCCCGTGCAGCAGGAATCCTCGAGCACAAGCGACTCTTTGGGATCGGGCTCGAGCGGTTCGGGAAGCTCAGACCGTGACAGTGAGGGCATTAGAGAAACGCCCACCCGGGTGATAGGGGATCACCCGGAAACCGCTCCTCAAGAAGACGATCTGCTGGGCAGAAGCGAACCGGTCGAGGAGGAGATAACCGAACCGGCGACCGGTAAGGATGACGGGTTCGAATATCTGAACAGCGAGAGCGTCGCCCAGCAGATGAGCGAGCTGACCCATGGGGAGGCTGCGCGGATCGCGGAAAGATTAAGCGGTCGAGTAGAATTCGACACAAGTCGACGGCTCGGGAACGTTATCGAGCGTCACCGGGGCAAGTGGATCGGGATGCACTATGACTCCCTACTAGCCCCGGTCGTCTTCCCGTTCCCCGCCATCCTGACCGCTTTCCTGGGCTACTACCAGGTCATGCCAGCCCAAATCTGCCCGAACTTGCATCGCATCATAGCGTGCTTTCCCCAGATTTGTGCTCGGCACCAGGTAACCTGCACGATAGAGCTTTTCAACTACATCTATCAGGTGAAGATCCTCTCGGGCAACTACGGGGGTGGGTTCTTGATGGTGCAATCCCGAGAGGGAAGGTGCTCGATCGCAAGCCTGCCCGGGAATAACAAAGGGTGGAAAAGGAGGATCTTCTCGGTCAAGTACGACCCATGGATCCTCCCGATCGACAGAGTCTGGAGCACCCGTTTTAGGAAACAAGTCACGCCAGTCGAGACCCTGGCTCTTCGGGAAGCTGTCGTCCGGATCTCAAGCGAGATCCACGAATACAAGATCTTCCGGTCGGCAGAGAGCCTTGAGGCCGCCCAGTTACCGGATCCGGTATATGATCTGAAAGAGAAGTATAAGCCCGTGTCGATGGGCGTGGTGGTGGCAGGTCCTCCTGCTCGGGGTAAATGGAAGAAGACAGGTCTAACCCTAACTAACTTTCCCGCTCGTAACTCCCCGAACAACGAATTTATTCCCGAGCTAACGTAGTTGTTTATTTTGCAGATATGGCGCCGAAACGCTTCAACAGCGGAGCTCCAAAATCTCCTCCCCGAACGAAAATAACTCTGGGGAAAAAGAAGACGACCGCTGGGTCTTCGGGAGGGGACTCCATCCCGGTTGCCCGACCCTTAGGCCCCGTCCCGATCATTACCGACGAGGGCGGGGTCCTGGATGCCTCGGACACATTGGTCACCCGAGTGACCAGCAAGTCGAAGGGGCAGGCGCTGGAAAAAGCGGTCGAGGAAGCGGCCGGGAGCAAGAGGCAGAGGACAGAGAAGAGCCCGACCCCGGCGGTCGGGTCTGTCATGGCTGATGCCTCAATACTATCTCGGATCGGTAATCTGACGTCGGTCGAGATAGACCTGACCAAGCTAAGCCCGACCCAATTGGCAGAACGGCTCGGTCGTGAGCTGGCCGAGGTAAGAACTCTTATTATTTTTTTCATTTTTGTGTGATGGATCCTCAATCGGGCTAACATGCTTAACTCTGCAGGCATCGCGAGTCGGGGCAGCCCTCCACGGCCAAGCGCTGTTGGCCACTGAGGCCATAAGGCTTAAGAAGGTCGCCGACCGGCGATTTAAGGAGCTGGAGGAGATGTCTGCCGAGCTCAAAAAGGCCGAGGAGGCGCTGAAGAAAGCTCGGACCGACCGGAGCGCCTTGTCGAAGGCGTTGCAGAAGGAGAAGGAGGCTCGGGAAGAGGCGGTCAAGAGGAACACAGACCCGGCCGCAGCGATCGACTACTTCTTCCGGGAGGTCGAGCTCGGCATGGCCTTCGTTCGGCAAATGCGGAGAAACGCAGTTGCGGACGAGCTCTTCTGGTCCTTCGGCCATTGGGCCTACAACAGCGGTCAGAGGGACATGAGGGAGAGGACGGAGGCCAATATGAAGGAGGCGCTCGAGGGTGAAGACCTCGAGCTAGTCTTGACCACCCTCCCGACTGAAGTCCCCGACCCCGGGCTGGACCCCTACGACCCCGAGATCGAGGTCGTCGGCCCGAGCGGAGCTGCCGTTGAGAAGCCTGCCGACCCGGCCGATGCCGAAGCCGTGAAGAAATGAGGCCTGCTGGTTTTATTTTCTCCTTTTGTAAGCACTGAATCGGGAGCCTGGTCCCGAGTTGTACCGGGCACGTTTTTTTATCAATGATAATCTTTTCCTGTTTAACTTGTGCCATTCGTTTTTCGCTTTACATTTTTGTTTTCAACGTGCGTGCATCGATCGTAGATGCTCGACCTCACGGCCTTTTGGCCCGGTCGTGCACTACTCCGCTGACTCGATATCCGACCTTGTGGTCTTATGGCCCAGTCGTGCATCCAAGATTCCGACGTCAAACTGGCCAACCCGAGCGAGTTCACCCGATCCCTAGGCCTTGACGATTTTTTGAAAATAGGTAAGCCTCCACGTTCGGGATATTCCCGAACGACGGGCCTGTAGATACTTCCTTCATCCCAGCCCCCACACTATTGTGCGCTCGAGGCACGAGTGGGTGCGATAGTGGAAAGAAGTTGGACGGATCGGGGAATTGTGCTGAGAGCTCCTGGCTTCCCCGATCAGTGGCGTGACCCGAATGTCCGCCGAAGAGGAGCGCATTTGACCGGTCGATAGACTCGCCCGGTCGATGTAACTTGAGGATGAACTGATCTTCATGCACTGAAGGTAAAGAAAATAACCGATCGGGCCGCCGCATGCAATCGGTCGAGCAATCACCGATCGTATATACATTAAACCTTCCCGCTCGCAGGCGGTTAAATAAATATTTACAACCATAAATTTAATTACAAATGACGACCGGGACTAACTCGCAGGTCGAGCCCCCACTTCGTCCAAAGATTACAAAAATAGGCTAATGCCTAAACATAACGAGGTGCTCGGAATTCCAAGTCCCCTCGATTACCCGACCGGTTGTCGTCTCCAGTCGGTATGTCCCCGGCCGTATGATAACGCTGATGATGTACGACCCTTCCCAGTTTTGAGCTAGCTTTCCGCCCTCCAAAGGTTGACTGGCCTCCCTTCGTCGTAGAACGTAATCTCCCACCTGGAAATAACGAGGGTTGACCCGGACATCCTTCGAACTCTTGACCCGCTTCTGATACTCGGCCATACGCCTAGCGGCTAGCTCTCTTTTTTCTTCGACCCCATCGAGATCCACGACCATCGCGTGTTCGTTCTCCTCCGCATTGTAGGTTCTCTCTCGATCAGTTGGGATCCAAGCCTCGATCGGGAGTCGGGCTTCTGCTCCATAAACCAGGGCGAAAGGGGTCTCCAAAGTAGCTTCCCTCGGGGGCGTCCGGTAAGTCCACAACACATATGGCAACTCATCGGCCCAACTACGACCAGCCGAGTGTAGCTTCTTTTTTAGACCTTCCAAAATCGTCCGGTTAGCGTTCTCCACTTGTCCGTTTCCCTGCGGGTAAGCCACCGACGACCGGACGTGAGTCGTCCCGATCGTGGCCAAGAAGTTCTGGAAATATTGGCTTACGAATTGGCGGCCGTTGTCGCTGATGAGATGCACGGGCACACCAAAGCGGGAAATCACATTGCGCAAAAGGAACCGAGCACACTGCTGAGAAGTGATCGTGGCTAAGGGCTCGGCTTCTATCCACTTGGAGAAGTAATCGATGGCGACAATCACGAACTTTCTCCGACCGGAGAGCTGAGGGAAGGGGCCCAAGATGTCTACCCCCCACCTAGCGAAGGGAATTGCAGTCATGATCGGCTGATAAAAGGTTGCCGGTCGTCCAGGCATCCGGGCAAACAGTTGGCACGTCTCACATTCCCGAGCTAACTTTTCACAGTCTAGCTGGAGGGACGGCCAGTAGTACCCGATCAGCATGATACGACGGGCTAGCGATCGGCCTCCTTGGTGTGAAGAACAAATTCCCGAATGCAATTCCTTCATGACCAGATCGGCCTCAAATGCGGTCAAGCAACGCATAAGAGGACCTCCGTACGATCGCCTGTAAAGACGACCGTCCAAGACTTGGAACCTCGGGGCTCTAAGCTTGGCCTTCCGAGCACGTTGGGGGTCATCCGGAAGTCGACCGTGCTCGAGGAACTCCTTTAGATCGGTGATCCAATTGTCTTCTACCGGCTGGATTGGATTGACCGGTAGGCGATGGATGCTATGTCTCGGGATCACCAAAATTCGTGCTATCTTCGACATATGTTCCGGGGCGTCTTGAGCCAACTTAGACAAGATGTCCGCGTTGGCATTATCCAATCGGGGTATGTGCCGGACGGTATACCCCCGGAACTGAGCAAGCTTCTCCATGGCTAGGTCTCGGTATAACTGCAGACGCTCTCCATTGACTTCATAATCTCCGAGGACCTGCCCGACCACGAGCGCGGAATCTGTTTGAGCTCGGATGTATTCAACCCCCAAGTCCCGAGCGCACTGTAAGCCATTAACAAATGCTTCGTATTCGGCTTCATTATTGGTCGGATGGAACTGATACATGAGAGCAAAATAAACTTTGAATCCTTCCGGGCTCGTGACCACCACTCCTCCTCCTGCCCCTTTCTTGCTACTCGAGCCGTCAGTAGCCAACGACCACCACTCAGCCTCAGGATCCGCAACCTCGGGCGGTCGGGTATCCCGGGCGGTGCACTCGACCAAGAAATCAGCAAGGGCCTGACCTTTGATAGCTGGTCTCGGTCGGTATTCGATCGCGTACTAGGTCAGCATTAACGCCCACTTGACTAAGCGATCGGATGATGAAGCAGTTCGGAGGACTGGCCCGATCGGCTGATCGGT